CTTAATATAGGTAAGTTTCTAATAATTACGAAATAATTTACATGCATATTTATTCCATACATTACAATACGCTTATGCTTGTTTAATAGTTAGGTATTACAGAAACAATTTGTGCTTGAAAATATAAATATACACTTATAGCTTTACATCTGATGGTCGCGTGTTCGATTCCTCGCCAATACGATTATCTGTATCCATAAGTAGATTGCTTATTGGTGTTTCAATGCACATTAAGTGACGTTGAAGGGGCGAGCTGTTGTACGGCGGATGACATATGCCTCTCACTCTACTACATAATGACCACGACCGTTCTGACAAGAGCGAATCGAATAAGAAGAAGAATTAGTCGTCCAATACTCATAATACAAACTTTGCTTAGATGGACCTAGATATCACTGTGTGAATTGTACATGCAGGGTAATTAATATTCTTATTATCATGAACGGACATTTGCATGGAGTTAGTCATAATATACCTTTACATATCTAAAGTTTCCTGCTTGAAAACAAAGTAATAAATGTTCTGTGGATCGCTTTTCAGCGATAAGGCCGCCCATTGTTGCCCCTTTGTCTCGTTTCATTATAGTTTGTGTATAAGCTATCCTTTTATGAGTTGAACAATAATGTTTTTTCATTAATTCGCAAAAAGTTTCTATTGAATTAATGTTATATAGGAAAGTGTAATATAGTAAGTATGTAGTAGATTTACAGTGCCATAGTTTAGTTCGATATAGGTACACCAATATCCATATAGACTGTGATGAATTTATTAAATTGTCTTTTACACACAGTATGGGATTTCAGAATGTTCTTAATTTTTTAATTATGATAGAATTATATTTATCTATACATGCTTAGTATATAAAAAATTTAAAGTATGACAGTTTTTCTATATACTTATTTATATTAACAAAACTACACTTATCAGTTGCATATATTTCAATATATGCAACTGATAAGAGTAGTTTTGTATCCAATGCTTTCACTAAATAAAAGGCAGGCCACCAGCCACTTTCTGGAATAATATTAAGACGCAGATGGACCAGGAAAATCTTACTCCTCAGACAACCCAAAAGAGAGTTCTCACACGCTGTAACGCACAGGTACAGGGAGACCGACCCCAGATAATCTGGGAACATGGATTGCACAGAGAGAGAACTTTTACTAAATAATAGCCAAAGGATTAAAAATATCTATATTACAAGTAAATAATAGACGTTACAATTGATACTATAAATAAAATATACAGCCAGTATAAGTTGTAAGTGTAATATGGAAATAAAATATTTTTGTTTTATTATTTTACAATATTCGCTATAATTTGAAAAAGGAAATTATTCAACCACGGCTTAGTTGACAAGCTTCTTTTTGTACTTTATCCCAAAGGCTCCCACAGGACACTACCGGTATGTAATATGTATGATCCATATCATTTTGACATAGTAATATCCTGTGGAATGTTTTTGACAACGGTCGGTGGACAGCACGCATTTGAAGTCGATGATGCCAAGAAAATGTCACAATACTTTCACTTGATTTACTATCCACGGGTGCTGATTTATAGGAAAACGCCGTAAACATAAATTGAAACGATTATCATATTGAAATATGTATTTCTTTATTTACCCTTATAATCATGTCATCGCATGCCTAATCCTTGTTAATGTGTATTTATTTACTTATGAACATATAATTAAGTTCGTAAGTTTCTTGCGCATTTTTCTTGTGATGAGAAAACGCGGAACGTGGTCCAAATGAGTTGTAGAATAGAAAAAATATGAGTATTATAAGTGCTTATATTAATATTAATTTAATAAACAATATTTCTATTTCTCTTACAAAACACTGTGTATACTGTATGTTATGACAATTTTTGTTTTTGTTTGTTACCTTTTTATGGGTAAATAGACCTACTAGGATGAATATAGCATATTGTTTATCAAAAATATAGCAAACGAAATAACAGCTAGTTACACATAATATGTAATTAAAAACAGTATTCCTGTGTCGTAAATATAAACAAATATAGTGATAAGCGTCTCTTGAACAGTACAGTTTTACATATAAGTGTGCTTATTATAAAACCTACTATGTTAAAGGTCAGGGAGTGAAGGGAATTTTGCAAAGAAAATCCACTGACCGAGCGGGACTACGGCTACGACCAAATACCTCATCAGTGTTTCTTTACATTCAGAAATGAAATTTGAATATTTTTTCTTATTCATATTGTAATTTGCTTAGTTAAATAAGCAAATGTTTTCAATGATGGTTTTTCTATTCAACCTATGCTGTAGACATATATTACTTATGTTATCTGTTGCGGGATAGTAATACCTGTGGTAATACGATGTTGCTGGTTGAGACAATGTATATTGCAGATGATTACTGACTATTGTTCAAGAAAAGAATATTCTTATACATTAAGTAACAATAGTAAAATAAAAATAATGATTAATAGAAGTACTGCACAAACTGTATGACCCCACCTTTCATTATATTGTCTTTAATATACACATATGTTAATAAATGCGTAGGAACGAGGATAATATTTTAAAGCATCAAAAAAGAGATGGATGGACTGTGTGAAAGATGATTTGCGACTGCGAACATGAATGGAAACGACCCCAAATAAATGGGATAAGGATGAAGCAGATGATGATTAAGTAACAATAGTAAAATAAAAATAATGATTAATAGAAGTACTGCACAAACTGTATGACCCCACCTTTCATTATATTGTCAACGTCTTCTGTTAGCGCATCCTTTGCGCTAACAGAAGACGTTGATAGCCGTGATGAATTACCAGAAATTAACCATGATACTTTTTATGGAAGAGCATGAGAAGGTTAACCTATTAGAGAATTTTGTTAGTGATGTGACCACTTGTCGTAATAGATACCACTCTAAAGCAGCGCTTTTGGGAGGAGCTTGGCTGGCTACTTTAGTAGTCTGGTTCTACACGCACAATGGCCCAAATGAGAGGCTAATTGGAGTCCAATTTACATTACATATATTTACCACTCTAAAGCATCTTTTTGCGGCATTGCCATGTGATATATTGTAAATGATTACTCGAATGTTATAACTATTCATGGTATACTTGTATTACAATATCAGTTAAATGGTTGATTTTCTATTTTGCGGTGCTTTCAATGCAGCCGTTAGAGATCTAATGTCGAAGTTATTATCACCTAACTCATGAACGGCTATTGCTACCTTAGTCAGAGCAACACATTCTAATTGAAATATTGAATTTGAATACCGAGAATACTTCTCTGACCTCGACATAGTATATATTTATATTAAAGTCAAGGGAGTATGCTGCAGTTTTGCCTTTCCTTATACATAATATTAATATACAGTTCTCGCTCATATACTTCATTACAATAATTGATAGTTGACTCCATATTAATTAATTATTGAAAAAATGAAGGTAACACTTGGACTAACACTCATATTTCTCAAACGTTTTATTTTTAAATAACTTCTTTTTTATTTATTAATAATAAGATATAAATATTATATTTTTAAACATGCAATTAAAAATAGTAATATATAATATAATTTCTGATGCATACGCTCTCCTTGCACTTCGCTCATATCTCTTAAATTTACTGAAAACCTGTCCAGTTGACTATAGAGGAAGTGGTGTTTTATGCACAAATTGCATCCTATTTTTTTTAAATGTGGCAGAAAGTCTTCTACGAGATCAATTTATTTTCAGATTTTTTATTTCCGTGAAAATTCTCTATCACAGAAACGAAAGCAGTCCAGGCCTAGTTCTAACTCAGTCATAGAATTTCTAAATTGAGTATCTTTCGTAAGTTGTCTAATTTAAGGACCATAAAAAATACCGGCTTTAATCTTATCCATAGTGAGGAAATTGGCAAATGTAAGAAAAACAGTTCCCGTTTTTATGTAGTTTGATTTAACAAATTGTTTCATGAGGCTCAGTTTTATATGTAATGGCAGAAGCTAGCTTTGTTACGAGCTACTAATGATTTCTGGACTATATTTTGCTTTCCAGGCTTCATATTTTCTCTCTGGTTTCTTCTTATCCAATGCTCTTGTTTAGCTCTACCATCCCAAAGACATAAAACGGGGAAATTAGTGTAACCACTAGTGGTTACACTAATTTGTATGTTCATGAAGTATGTTCACTATTTTCAAATCTACACAAATATGCAATCAACACAATTGAGAGCCTAAGACTTCTCATTTTTATCCAAGAGCATCCCAATATACGCAAAATAGTTATTTTTGATGAACTCTGATATAACTTTTCTACAATCATTGAACACATATTCTCCGCATATATAGCAAAAATTATCTGGATTGTTCAAACACCGTCTCCTTGAACTACTCATGACGCAAATACATTCGATACTAATCTAAACATAATTAAAAATTAAAAAGTTATTAATTGATATACATGCCTGATTGACAAAAATCAAAAACAAAGTAACTCGACCTGCTCAAAAAATTTTAAAAGTAAATTTGGCAAAAACAAGTTACAAGTGAACATTACTAACCTAAAAATTTATGGCAATAGACAAAAAGTTAAATTTTGTAAACTAGTGTAATAGATGAATTAATTAATGGTTTAGAATAATTGATTGGAAATATTCACTTAATCTTTTATATTGATCTAATTAAATTTATGATATAAAAGAATCTAAAATAATTAAAGCACAATCGATGACAATCATAGTTAAAAAAGAGAATTCCAATACAGCGAACTTCATAATAAAAAGATGAATTTTGTTCTTCAGAGATATAAAGTTTTCCACGATTAATAACGGTTTTCAACTTTGAACGCTCTTCCTTTTGCATTGAAAGCTATATTGCACTTGATTTAAACATACCGCGACCAGAAACCTGTTATTTAGAATCTGCTAGAGATTGCCGTGATTTAATGAGGGAATGCAATTTATCAGTTTAATACGAGTGAATAAACTAAATTTTACTTTTAAATATTTAATTTAAAACTTTATGCTCATATGAATAGAACTTATGATTTCATAAATTAGGTAGTCTATTACTGGATGAGACCTAAGACACGTGCTCTGTCCAGCCAATCAGATCGTGACACATAACTACCACCTAATATCCTCGTGCCTGTGAATCCAGTCCTGCCATGAAGTACTCGAAAGTTGTCTATTACCATCACTGTACCTGAAACACAAAACATTATATTCATAATAGACATTAAAATACAATGATAATAACAATATCACTAAACAATTCACACGTCGCCATCTACTAGATAAATGATATAAATACTTAGATGTTTTTTGTAAATGTATATAATATACATAGAAAACACCCAAACTGATACAAATAATAATCATACTTATGAATGCAGATGTTTTTAGCGTGCGAGGAATCGAACCGGCAACCAAAGGAAGTAAAGCGGTTTGCTAATCTGCTAGATAACCTAGTTCAAAGGATATAAGGAATAATTTGTTAGTTATATAGTATATGTAAGTATGTAAGACTAACAAAAATAATGCAAATCACTTTCCCTCATAAAAAAATAATTTGTGTTGTATTGACGGCCGGCAGACGGATTTGGCTGTTACGCGTGACCACCGGAAGTAAGCTAGTCTTACTTTCCGATGGTTGCGGGTACGATTGTTCATGCGATTTGTATTCATGAGCATGATTGTTTGTATCGATCTGAGTGTATTATGCATGGATTACACAAAAAGTAACATAAAACAATGAAATCAAACAATAATTTGTTAGTTAATATGACATGACACACGTTTAAGGCACGTATGTGGGATTCATTACACTACACTATGTAATATTATGTTATCTGTGACTATTAGTGTAGTCACAGATTCGAGCTATAACACTGTTTTTGTTTTATTAATTAATTGACTTTTGAACATAGTCGTTCCAACGAATAATTTTTCAGTTTAAAATCCATTACAAAAATGTAAGAAAATTCATTTTCATACTCAATTATAACAAAATAAACATGTGAGTGTAGTACTGGGAAGTTGGTACCGACCCGCAACAAAAACTAATTTAACATAGTTTCACATCCCGTACACTTGCTACGTACCTGGTTTCAATTTGAACTGCCACTGGTTCTTAGTATCTTCATAGTAGCGGCCCAGGCTCCTGAGTGATCGGTAGTAGGATCTACATTCATCGCTGCTAGCAAACGCCATCGACGAACGGTCATACACGTTATACCTGAGTTAATATTTAAATTATCATTACGATTAATTGCAATTGAATCAAAATTAAAGAATAAAAGTTATATCACCGAATTAAAGAAAAACACTGGTTTAAAAAGTAATAAACGCCAAAATAAGTAAAAAGCCAAATTTTAAAATTCGTCCAAAAAGAGTAAAAACATATATTTTATTTACAGACTAGTTAAATAGAATGTATTTTTTTCCCAAACAAATGACATTAGTAGTTTCCATAATGCAGTACTGAGACAGATCGTCAAACTAAAGGACTGAGAAAGTTACACCATAATGATCATTTTAAAATATTGGTTTAAAAAAGTCTTTATAATCGAGAACGTAGTAGTTTGTGATGCCTAAAATCATTATTTTAGGCATTGCATCGTTGACGATTCTCACACATTCCTACGCAATGATATATCATATATAACGGACATACTATAAGTTTTAAAACTTGGTATATAAATCTGTTGTAAATTATAATTTATGTGACCATTATATGTATGACAGATTAATTTACTATGTTGAATTTAAACAATTTTGAAATTTTAACTTGTATTTGTTAAAAAACAAGAGTAACTAATAAGATCCTATAAATTAAGTATTTCTTAATTACCTGATCTGCACCAAATCTCCACTTTTAGTGTCAGTCTTGATGATGGGCGCTGAATATTTGTGGTGATGCCCGTCCTCTAAATATTCCGCTTCAATATTGAAAGTAGTCAGGAAAGTGTAATCAGCCGGAATTTCAGATCGTAAACGATTTGCTCCATAAAAACCATCAACTAAAGTAGTTTCCCCACCTTCTCCGTTGGAATGCTCAAGACAATGAAGAATCTGTAATCTAAATACAATACCTATGTATTGTAGGTTGGAAGTAATTAAAAAATATGTTCTTATTCCAAGTATTTCCTATTTTAGTGGTTAGTTTCTTAATTCGATTCTATTTTTTTTTATGATACTTTATCGATAAGTATTTTTTTTAAAAGAGCTTAAACGAACTACCATAAGAACTTATTAAGAACAACCATAAGAACGTAACAATATTTACTCATTGATTTTTAATATAAGGTCAACTGCATAGCGTACTACTATCATAAAATATTTTTTTTTATTCGTTGATCGTGATATATTGCACCCGCCTGAGCAACAATTCTATCATTAACCTCCACGCGGATCTTGGAAACTATTGTAATGATATCATGCTCATCTATTATTCTGTACTGGTGCCCCGCATGTACCATTAGCGTAGACGGGTGCACTAAGTATTATCATGCGTTAAAAGCCCCCTACAATACCAACCATCTCACCTCACTCCATAAATTACTATTAATAAAGTATTATTATCAGTTAGTATTGTGAAATAATAAATTCACAAGAGAAAACAAAATTAGAATAATTCTGTTAGTACATTTAATGATTCTATTCTTTCTTGTTTCATGAAAATGAGTGATTATGCTTTTGATTGATGGAGACGCATTAAAACTGTTTTAGCGGCGTCACAATATTAAGTACATTAAAATGATATTAAGGACATTAATATGATATTAATATACAATTAATAGGTATTACGTCCTCTAGTCGTATAAGTATGGCAGGACTAATGCTACTAGGCGACAGCAGTAGGTTGAGACTCTGGAGTTACAAATCTGTAAACAGTCAAGTCAAATATATATATATATATATACCTATATATTACAGGACCGAACAAGACATTGGAATGGAACATTTTTTATGTAAATAGATAGCGATAAGGCTGACGGCCCGTTCAATGAAAAATACCCTATGAACAGCAACCGCATACGCTGTCATTTTGAAGAACTAAGGTATTATACCTTCCTATCTTATAATTTCACTGACATTCAGCTAAAATATGGCTTGCAAATTTTATTGGGGATCCCTAATTCTAGTAATATATATAGCCTATCTGAACTATTTTGTCTTTCAAAGTATATTAAACTGAATACAGTGTGCAAAATTTCATTAAAATAGATTCAGGCCTAGTAGTTTAGGATTCCATCGCAGTCAAATAAAGTGCGGCTAAAATAAATGATATAGACATATCTACGAAAATAACAATTTCATACAAACTCTAATTATGTTAATATCATTAAAAATTAATCATGATCATTAATTTGATCATGACGCTCTTAAATTAATATTAATTAATAAGACATAAATTGAAGTAGCGAAGGATCGTTTTGACATTTCATTACATTCGCTTTGTCCGTTACAGCTGTCAATTAGTGTAATATCTTCCATTTTATGATACCATTATTGTAAGATTGCTAAAATCCAATTTCATTAATGATTTGATAGGTGCAAGACAATCTAATTTTATAGCCGTTCACTTTCACGGTAGACGCGTCCGGAATTAATATTACTCTAAATACCCATCACTTATCTTTTTCAAAGTAATTTAGTCGGTAAACGTTATAATTTTATGTTTATTTTATACGGAAATGTTTATTTTACTACAAAAATTTTATATTAATTATTATATAGGTAATAATACTAAGAACAATATAGCAAATATAAACTGTCTTGTCATGATTATACTTAAATGATTTTTTTTTTTCGATTAATTTATTCACACAATGTCACTGAAAAACAAGTGAACGTTTGATTCGTATTGGTATTTTAAATGCGAAAGTAACTCTGTCTGTCTCTTTCCTTTTCATTCTTAAACTAATGAACATATTTTGGCTATGAGGCCTCTTAACGTAAAGAGAGATCGGATCATCGTCGAGGATACCTATGTGCTATTATTTATTTAAAAATAAAAAATTAAGATTTAAAAAGATTTAAATAATGGACACATTTTCTATGGAAATACTATAATTATCGTGACAAATTATATGAAGCTTCGAGTAAAATATTGTTTATTCAAAATCAATTAAATTCTCCGTAAAGACAAAGTCATGTGACTTTGCCTTAGCTAAAATAACGTACGAAAAAGAGTTAAAATTGGTCAATCGCAAATACATATAAACTTGAAGGAAAATGAAGTAAATCCTTTGTTTTAGTCTTATTTGATTTGACCTAACTCGATTATATACAACAAACTTCAATTATCATGCATATACGTACAGAGGAGAACAAAAGTAAAATCAATGAGAAACCCTGAGTGAAATGCTTAACAGAATATGAAAGCAAGCAACGAGCGAAAGCTTTTTCGAATAGGCCCTGAAATAATAATGACGAAGGATCCCATCTAAAGTGGGTACCAAGCAAACCCTTGAAAAAATAACTAACTTCATTATTGTGCAAATCAGAATGGTTTTCCGTGTGGAATCGGATGTCGTAGAATATAATTAATTATCATTAAATATTATGTTAGCCACATTTATTATACAACCACGTGTATCCGTGACTTCATCCACGTAAAATAGTGACCTAGATCAAATAATGAAAAAATATTTAATAATCTAACCCAATAAAAGCCAAATAAAAAAGATTCATCGTTCTAGCTTCAATAATGACGAAATTCATCAACAACCTTTCATCTCGCCTTTCAACCTTTTTTCTTTATTTATATTTAATCAACAGCTTAAAAATAAGTTTCAAGCCTCTAGTTTTAGAATATAATTAATAATTATATTATCAACACATTATACAATAAGTTGCAGTATAAAGTGGTAACTTTACAAAGTAATGATGATCTTAACTTAACTTATTTTATTTTACTGTGTAACTAATATTATAAACAACAAGAAATTAAATTTCAAGCTATAGATAGAATAAAACAGAAGTATAAGACTCGATGACTACAGCGTCAGGCGAAGAATGACAAGAAGAGCCGACCTCAAGTGAAATGAGAATAGCTAAGCAGAGGGAGAGTGAAGCAATAGATATAACAAATAAATAAATTACATATTAGTTGGCAATTTCTATACTCCAGTATTCTATATACACCTTGGGTGGTAAGTGGGCATATAGAACATGACAACTGTTATGATATCCGTTGCCTTTTCGGAGGAGTCAAATATCGTGATGTTCTCTGTAATTTCACTGCAATAAAATCTTTAAACTGATACTGATTTCAAAATAAGCCGCTTCCATTAAAATAGATAAAACAGAGGTATTGCATAGATAGATGCTCACTTTGTACGAAATAAGCCTCATTATTGTTAGTTCGATTTGGGAAATATTTTTTCTATAGTTCTTCGAGTACTAGGTATTCTGAGTTGCAAGAATAAACAACATAAACTTTTCTGTATTAGACTTTTACAGTACCTACCGGCAGCAAATAAGGAAACTTTTCCTTCATTTTCGAAACTTAGTAAGCCTCCAGAAATATTTTGGAATAAGAAAAAAGAAATGTTTTCGCAGATCAGCCACGCGGAAGAATAAACGGCGCGACACGAGACTGACTGAAATTAATGTGGAAAATCCTTTTTACATTCTCTACTCGCTTTTGATCCCATTTCATTAAATGTAACTTACGCGTACTTACTATCTTTTTGTATACGAAAATGAATTGCCCGTAAGCTTTGACTGATACCATGTAAAAAAATTGATACCATATATAATCCTATAGTCGTTTCTACGTAATTAGAAAATAATTATTTCTGAGGACTATTTTTTCTCAAAAATGAAGATTTATTGAATTAAAAGGCACAGACAATAATTGTCATGGATAATTTTTGTCACAGTTTTTCGCCGTGACTGCCCTACAACGCTTTTTATTTATACCTAAAGGTTAGCTGATAGAGAATGCCATATAGCATTATGCTTTTCACACTTTTTATCGTGTAATAAACAAAAAATAAAATAATTTTCTTCACCTGCACCAAATTGATTTATATTTGAATAATATCAACTCATAGGCTGCTGATACATGTGTCGATCAGATTTCAAGGGGCACAAAAGAATTGGTACTTTTGGTTGCTACAGAGAATAGCCCATGTCCCATTGGACCATTAGCCCATTTGGACACCTTAACTACAGACCAGCTGTATATCAGTAGCCTATATGTTCAAACATCATTTTGAAGCAACGAAAGGAAATATTCAATATTCTTAAGAAATCATTCGAATGAAAAAGAGTAGTGAAAAAATACGTTCTAGAATATTTTATATAATGAAATTATTCATACAATAATTTATAAATTAATTACTTACACAAATTTATGACCTCACGAGATGCAGCGAATACATCGATCAAGTATATTAATCAGATAAGTGATTGTGTACTACTGGTTTAATTTTTAAATTTCTATCCAATACTTAGTTCATTTTATTTTTGTACCGTGAATATTAACATATAAACGCTTTTATGCATGACCTCCAGCCGTCGAGATACTTTTTATAGAGCTAGCGAATACTCTTTTCTGTTTTGACCCTTTTGTTCACTGATTTCCATTCGATATAAATATAGGTAACATTTATAGAATCCGTTAGAAATCTTCGTAATGCCAAATTTGTATATGGTTTTCTTTCCGTTTAGTGACATATTACCGTCTTTCCATGTCCAGAATGTTAAAATAATAGAGTGGTTTATTTATACATATACTACATATACTATTATTAAAAGATGGCTATATAATAGAAATGTACTTTAGAAAGTTTAATACATGAACAGCATTACGGATATTACTTTATTGTGTGATACTCATGCATTAGCATTCTTACGAAATATGATGTCATGCCTCTTATCCTATAATTTCATGTATGTATATTAAATTATAATATAGAGGTTTAATTTAATTAACTTACCCTGTCGATTCTGTAAAGTATGTACTGTCATTGTGGAGTGCAAGTGGTAAATTTGTATAAGCGGTGTCAGCGTGGTCTGCTCTCGTGGTAAACTTCCACATGCCTCCAAAGATTGTGTGTTGTACTCCACCTAAGGCTTTGCAGACTACTTCAGTAGCTTCAAGGGTTGCGTCAACCTAAAAATAAACACTTCTATAGCCTATATGTTATCCTGATGTATAAGCTATATAACTGTAGAGTTTCATCAAAATCCGTTTAGTAGTTTTTGCATAAAAGAGTAACAAACATCCAGTCATCCATCCAACTACAAACTTTCGTCTTTATAATATTAGTAAGATAAATAAAGTAAAAGTAACTTGTATACAGTTATTGTGTCTTTACCAAAAGTACCCCCTTGACAGCTGGAATGTCGTAAAAATCGAGAGAGTGCAAAATGAGCAAAGCATATGTTGAAGGTATAAAAGAATCACCATAAGAGCCATCGTGGTAATAAGTCGGCTAGTGTATCGTAAAGGTCCCTCACCTTAATAGATTGTTATAGTACTCTATTACACACAACCATTTTACAAATATAAAACAGATTTTTTTCCCGCATTAACTTATTTTACCGCGAACATACATATCTGACTTCTATAATATTTATAATAATTTTCTTACTTATCACGGCTTATTATCAGAATATTAGTTTAAAATGTAGAGCACTTTACGTTTGCCTAACCACCTTCTGTCCTAGGGATGAGGGGATCAGATCTTTTTAGCCAGCTGCTCTGTTAATATATAATAGTTTCAGAGGGGGCGGCAGCCACCCTATCCCACTCTTTCTCCTCACCTCTGGGTACTTACATGTCACATAGTAATATAAGTATATAGATATTAGGATTGAAATCTTAAAAATGTATTATAAATATCTTCTTATGACCTTAACAATTTGTTGCCTTATGTCTAATTAATTTCCACATTTGCTTTAAAAAAATAACTTTTTCGTTGTACAAATATTTACCTCTTCTATTAAAGCAACTCCGTAGTCTAAAAGCGACTGAAACACTCTTTTAGCTCCATCCGTAGTGTTAAGAAACTTGTCGACATTTATTCTCGTTACTTTGCCAGCAATTTCATCGCCATGCCAATATATTGGTTTGAGTTTACGTCCATCACTCCACTTTGTATAATCGAACTGTGCTAAGAAACTTGCTTCGTAAACCGATTTGTGGTCGTCATCCCCTGATGGAAATATAACGTGTATACAATATCCACTAATGTATTTATAGTTGGATATGGTTTTAACATAAAACTAATGTAATAATTTCAAAACAATTTTATATTTCTAACTCACTGGTGATAAAACAGGGACATAATAGGGAATGTAGACATACGCTGCTATTCCGGAGAACGTTAAATACGTTATGTACATATATGTTCTCCGGAATAGCAGCGTATGAGTAATATCACGGTTAGCACAAGATGAAGGGATATGAGTTATTCTGTTTATGTATATATAGGTGATGCCTACCATCAGGTATGCCTTCAGTTTGTTTACTATTTAATTTGTATTAAAAAAAAAACAGCAATATTGATACAATTACGATAAATCGAATATTTATTTGAAAATAAATTCAGATTAAAAACACTGAATGAAATGTGGACATTTCAAGTGTCATATATCCATCTATTTATCTATATTTTCTTACCATGAGTGTATTATAAGTAATGTAGTATATTAGAATCTAGTTTTGTACACTTACAAGGACATATTGATGTTATTTAATTTACCATACGTTGACTTACATATAATTGTGATTTGTGTCTCGTCGTACTCCATGGACACAATTTTAGAATCCGGTATTTCCAAAATGTGTATAGCCCGTTGGAACGTGTCAGCGTGGTAACAAGAAGTACATCTTAAACAAATTGAATAACATGTTGACAATCTTTAAGTGATAGTATGTCGTCAGATAGAATAGTTGTCTTCGCTATATCGTCGGTTACCTCACTCATCTCATCTTACAATGCAAACATAGTGTATTATTGGTTTAATACTGGATGATTCATTTTATTATTATTAACTCCTTAGTGTGGTGGCCTACATAGAAATAAATAAATTATACAACAAGTTGACAGTCTGTAAGCGTTAGTATGTCGTGAGACAGAATTATTATCTTCGCCATATTGTCTGTTGCCTCATCTACTCTCTCAACTAACAATGTTATTTTATTATTAATACTAGCTGTTCCTGCGACTTCGTCCGCGTGAAAAATAACTTAATTTTTCTAAAATAAAAGTAGCCTAAGTTAGGGAGTAACTCCCTATTAGATCAGTTACCTGCCAAAAAAAGTCCCGTCAAAATTGGTCCAGCCATTTCAAGATTAGCCGAAACAAACGGACAGACAGATAAAAATTATAAAAAATGTTATTATGGTGTATGTATCGTATTTATATTCATATGCATGTAGTGAAAAATAGTTATTCAATATTACAAACAGACACTCCAATTTTATTTATATGTATAGATTATAAATGCAATTTTTGTAAGTGTGGATGTTTGTTACTCATTCACGGAAAAACTACTGAACGGATTTTGATGAAACTTTACAGTCATTTAGCTTATGCATCAGATAGCACATAGGCTATATTAAAATTTGGCGCGAGTGAAACCGCGGGCACATCTAGTATACAATAAAATTTGATTTTACAAAGAGTATCTCTTGCCTAATACTAGCTGATTAATTTTATTTTATTAACCACTAACTTATTACTGCGGCACTGCCCATATGAATATAGCTTATAGTACTCAAAGGTTATGTCGCTATCTATGTACATATAGATGAGAGAATTGTTTTAAGTCGACCAAGTACTTGTTGAGTTTGTCGCAAACACATATGTAATATAAAATATTTCTATGTATTTGCATATAGATGAGATAAAATTTCAAATATAATATATTGTTTTAATTTCGACCAAGTAAATATATTATCTTTATAAATTAGTTTATCATATAAAATTGACTATAAATTTAATTAAAAGATAAATTATGGATATACATTTACATATATATCTTTATATTATTTCTGAATAAATTTAATTAAAAGATAAATTATGGATATACTTTAGACATATTACATGCTCGTATGTACATAAATACTCACCTACAATGATCTCTAAGCCAACAATCTTCAAACTTTATAGAGTTCGCTTCTACTAATTGGATCTCCAGCGCTCTTTCTATAATCTTCGCTCTCTGAATAGCTATATCATTAAATGTTAGGTATAGGTTAGTTATTTAAGTTATTTAATTCATTTATACAGTTTAATATTATATTTTTAGATGATATAATTGTATATTATCTAATATTGATATAATTGTAAATTTGATTTACTACAGTAACGTAGAATTCTTTAATTCCAAATGCACTAGTAACTTTTTCAATTGTTTATACAGTAAGAAAATAAACGTCAGGTTGTAAAAATATTTGGTTAAATGAGTCTCATCACGTTTAACTGAATGCATTTATTTCTATCATATTTGATAAAGGATGTCACAGAATACAACTTTTATTTTATTTAACCTGAATGACAAAGTCCACCCACGGTGCATGGGGCAGCCCACCTGACGGTAAGTGGTATCTATAGTCAGAACGAACGTCACGTCATTATATGGCCGCTCATTTGTTGTCATTCCGGAGAGTATGATGTCTTGACTCCGTATTTTATAATTTTAGTTGATTATTTCAACTTTCAACCGAAACATCTTATAATCAAGCTACTTAGCAGCTGAAATAGGCGAGACTGAGGTATCCACGCAGACGACTCCAATGTCAATCTCGATCACTTCAGATTCGCTTAAGTGGTTTGACAAATTTAACTACTTAAATTAAAATAAAATTAAAGTTATAATATTATACTAAAATTACTGCTGAAGAGAATGACACTAACGCAAAGATTTTAAGTATTCTACGTGCATACAATGTCGAGCAACTTCGTTTTTATATTTAAAACTACAATGTTCAACTAACTATATACCTAACAAACTACATACTTAGTATGTATGGCTATGTAGTTAAAATATTTTTTATATTAGTTTGCATGAAGAATGTATTTAATTTTTATTATAAATAGATTCACTTACCAGTCATTTTCTTAAAATACACTAAACTCCTTTATTATAATAGAACGACTATACAATCTATTACTTCGTTTAGACTTCTTATAAGTTGCTTACTGATTGGTAATGATGTTTGTACTAAGATTTGTCTTATCTACTACCTACCTAAACATATTATTCAAAGTCATGTTTATCTTCAGGTCACTGTCACATTTGTCAATTGATTGGAAAATAATTATAAATTAAAATAGGAGTATAATATATAATTTGCATCAAATATATATTGTTCAGCACTACTTCTCAAAACAAAGTTTATATAAATTTTCGTTAGTAAACTGTGATTAACGTAGTTGGTAATACATTTTAAAATACTTATCATATATTGTATATATATAATATAACTGTCTATTTATATGTGTAGTGTATTTGTATTTTAAGGTTTCAGTAAGTCGCAAAACGGCTGGAGCATATAGATTAAAATTATTACATAATATGTTGATAAATTGGAGTTAATATATGAGCTAAAGTAAAACAACATGCCGTCCAAAATAGTAAATTAATATTATTTTCTCATCAATTTTAAATACGCTATCTACTACTGTTAATGAATTTATTAATAGAGTAACATGGCGTCGTATAAATGCTTTATTTATTTTTGTCGCTTGATTATCATTAAAATAATTGGCCACAAATGTACACGCAAAAGATATCGGGGATAACACTAGCTGTATATAATATCACTAACATCTACATTTATACTATTTTGGTACGTCTTGTTTCTAATACCAGATACTTATATTTTCTTTTCTTTATTTTACTTAAACATTTTTGAGAATATATTCATGAAGAACATATGAAACCTATAAAATATATAATTATATGTATACAATAAAATTTTGATATATATATGAGTAAAAAAATATTGGCGTCATTAAGACATAACATCAGACGTAGACTGTAAAAGTATAACTATTTTAACCACCGAGCCGCTTGCTTTGTAAGCTGTTTTGGTAGTAGGATGCAGATTAGACACTTAGTGAAACTGCTGGATAAGAGACATGATATCTAAGTCGTCGAAATGACAATGTATGAATGGTATCATGGATATCACACGATAATGTGACGTCCTTGGTGCTGTTTGTAGAAGTTAAATACGCAGTGTTAATAAATATAGTAAAAGTCAACAGCCAAATTCACGAACAATAGACCCCGAACATACTACCGCCGGTCAGATATAAAATTAATAACCAAAGTTATTAAACTTATTTCTGGTCATATTAGTTAATACTGTTCATGTTCATAAGATACGGTTATGGCTCATCATCAACTGGTCCGTCAGCTTGCTGTACAATTTTTGTTGGCGACGGACCGCCGCGAACTCTTATGATATTTATATTATTTTTAGAACTGTTATTTTTATGTCGAGCTTTTTGATATGTCAAGCATATTCCATTAAGTATAAAAAGGTTCATATTGTGTGGTATAGAAAAAGTATAATAGCTAGTGTGTTGTATTTTTCGAAAAAAAAAACACTCATTTTAGGCTGGCTGATCATCTGGGTGAAGGATAATTCTGATCTTAAAATATAGTAGAACATTTACTAATCGTCTGCAGCTAATACAATCTAAAAAAAATGTACTACTAGTTACTAAAAGATACATCGAACAAAAGTAAGTAGTAGCCAAGTGCGATATATCAAACTTAACGTGTTAGCATTCAGAGGAAACATTCGTACGACTTCGAGGTTATGTCATAATAAAACATATTTCTGTAACAAGATATGTAGTTCGAAAACATTTCATGAAAATATATCGCGAATTCGGCTTACGAATTGTGGACACACAGATAAGTATACACCGTTATATACTAAACTTCGGGAACATATAAAAGGCTCTGTCTATACGTAACTAACTAGCTGTGCACGGTTCCCCGTGCATGAAATTTATAGCCGATATGTTATTCTGATGTATAAGCTATATTACTAGTCTAGAAATTTCATCAAAATCCGTTCAGTAGATTTTGCGTGAAAAAGTAACAAACATCCATCCATCTTTCCATCCGTACCTACTTACAAATTTTTGCGCTTATAATATGTATAAGTAAGACTACTGAATAATGAACTAAAAAGAATAAAGTACCATTAGCTCAAAAAATATGATTTCTTACTTTTTCTTAAAATCATCATGTGTAACAAAACGTTTCAATTAGTACGTCTAATAATTACAGTACCTAATTGTCAACAATATCGTTTTTAATTTAAAACTTTTGTTTTACTTTTAGCACAGATTAGATTCACACTGTACCTATTGATGATTATAAGATATCTTTATTTTTATGTAATTCGAATGGTAATCATTGACACAGAAGCATCAAGGACATCACATAATCATGTAACATGTGTTGACATTCCAGATGACTAGAGCTTCATGAACATATACCCTGTAATTTCACTGTCATTTCTCATCCTTCAATAGAAGAACAGCTTACATAGCAAGCTGATATTAGGAGTTTTATATTAAGCGTATTTTGTTGAAATCGAATCGTTTTGGAAAAGACGCTGTAAAATTACTTACAATGTAAAATTATTTGACATACGTATAGTAAATAAAAGTAGTATATAAAATTATTTGACCAATACTATATATTATATATTGATCTCACATTTATGTATGTTTTTAAGCAGATCGCATACAATTAAATAGTCTTGAATTTAATGATATGTCGTCGTGTACCTATCCCAAAACGGATTATACGGATTTAGATACATACGTTTTTAGTTCGTCAATATTACATCAGTTTTCTGGTATTAATCCGATTGTTTATTATATGAGATATATATTTTCGGGCCTCATTGGATAGCTGCCAGCCTAAAGTGGACATAACATTCACTAAATTATTGACCAGAACTCTAATAACATAGGTAAGTTATGGTAGAAACGTTGGACGGGATATTTTAGCATCGAACTTCGTAGAACCCTCATAGTTTTGAAAATTTGATGGTAAATAATATAAATTATTGTGGGTAGAATTAATTTTCAATTAGCGAATAAATTGCATGTTTCAAAGACGACATTGTAGTAATTAAATGCCCGTAATGTTGTGTAAAAAACGAAATGGGTAGGGATTTACAGACATTTTAGTAATTCTTACATAATAATATCTTGCGCGATCGATCGAAATTAGTGATTCTTTTTATAAATCTATGAGATTTATCCCTTTGCCGCAAGGCCAGGGTGGTTACATTGACCTTAAATCATTTTATTATAAGTAGAGTTTGCATGTTCACACTGGAGTTATGACGATAAGATCAATTTACATATGTATAGTTGGGTATAGATAAAAATACAAAGTAAATATTATCCATTCGCTGCGTGATGATAACCGTATCATATAACAAAGTACAGCTTAGAATAAAGTTACATAGTAGCTCCAACGAATATAGATATATAACGGTTATAATTTTAGCTAGTGTAACGTCATTCTTACCAAAGTTAGAAAAGTACAGTGTAGTTATTTGGTAATAACTATTTTTTTCTTTAAATTTATATACCTAATTACAGTGGCAACTAAACAGCAAGGGAATTACACATATACTCATACGTTCCCCTTCCAGAGAATTAAACATATATGCTATAATTTTACTGCATTATCTCAGATAAATTAATGAAATTACTGGAAAATTCAACTGAAACACAGCTTACGAAGGAAGCAGTTAGACGATTGCCATTTATCAGACTGTAGTACATAGACGAATTTTTATAGTCTTAATCTAGTCTGCAGACCAACATAACATTATAAAAATAACACAAGATAATAAAATCGATATAATTTCAAGATCTAACCCTGAATAAGAGAGATCAATCCGTTTCATGCTTGTCTTTATTTCTCAGGATTTGTAATGAAATGACGGGCGGACGCACCATCCATCTGAATTGTAAATGTTATTATTTCTGAACGGGCATCACTAACCCAGCGAATCAGCTTCTATTCTCTCAGTGGCCGGCGAAATGAATAATTGGTGAGCATCACATTCGTATATGAATATATACTGTTGATTACAAACAATATAAAACTGCAAATTAACTTAACTTTCTGTTGTAAAATCATATAAATGAAAATAAACATTAATATAAGTGTGACAGCCTCGGTGGTCTAATGGTTCAGCGTACCGCTTTACTATCCGATGGTCGTGGGTTCGAATCCTCGCACGGCACAACAACACTTTTGTAGTCATGAGTGTCATTGTTTGTAACGGTCTGGATGTTTTCTATATATAATATGTATTTATTTACAAAAAGAAATATCCATGTATTTATATCAGTTGTCTAGTGCCCATCACACAAGGTCTGTTTAACTTGGGACTAGATGGCGCTGTGTTAATTATCCTGAGATATTGATAGTTTTAATGTACAAACCATTATAGTACAGTAATGTACTACCCTAAATGACACATAAAAAGTGTCGAGAGTAAAACTAGCCGTAAAGAGAAAATAATTGCGTGTCACTTCATATTTCTGACTAACTCTCCGGTGAAGGAAACACCGATATTATTAAACAGATAAATCCTAGTAACGACCAGAATCTAGAGCTCTGTCACGTAATCACGTTGGAATTAAATAGACAGTTTTGTACAAAATCTATTTTGGATTAAGGGAAATAAAAATAATATTGCTATTTAATAAACATCACCAAAATGGTGCGGGAATGGATGCAACGACTATTTAAAAATGAGGCAGTGTATTAAATCTTTGTACAACAGCTTTTATTTGTTATTAATTTTTGTTTTTTTTTTTTATTAATAATCTATATCATTTTCAATAACATCCATTCATTTAGTTATTCATTTAATCGTAAAATAAACAAAGATACAGACAGACGGATATACTCCTACTTTTTCATTTGTAATATTAGCATGGATTAGTGTGAATACAGTCTTAATTAATATATAAGTAAGCTCTTTTTACGATATAAACGTAGTTTTTATGGTTATAACATATTTTCTTCAGGAAAACCTTTTTCGTTCTGCGTAAT